CAACCCATGAAACCTTTCTAGAAGGCCCTTGGACGAAAATCATATGGGCTTCCCATAGATTTCGTCCAATCCCCTTCCCAAATGGAATCCATAGCCCACAATGCAATTATCTTATAATTATAATATCAGTCCCCCAAGTTTAATTAATCTCTTTTAGCCATAGAATTAATTTCTTAAATAATTCTTGTCTAATATTAATTAAACTATATGATTTTTCTTTTAATATATTATTCTCATAATATTTTAATAAATCATAATAACCTCTTACTTCATAAATCATCCTATCTAGTTGCTTTGGTGAAGGCAACCCAAACGGATCATGCACAACCAGGTCAAGTACATACCAAATATAGTTACGGGCTTAGACACCAATCCAACAATAACTTTCTTTGTTATAACTCGAATTTCAGTGTTCTTTATATGCACGAAACCCTTGTGACATATACTACAACTTAGTTAAGATTATTTATTCTAAATAATATTCTATCAAAAATTCTTTCTTGACACTTATTGTCTTTAAATTGACTAGCCCAAATCTGCGGGCGTTACAACTAACACTGTTCACATTTATGATTTATGTAATCAATAAGATTAACTCTAAGGAATGGAATGAGGGCATTATGTTAGTTCTCAATTGCATGGATATTGACCTTGTATTTCAGACAATGTAACATTTTTTGAGGATGTGAGTTTGGGGGAGAAACAATTTTAAAAAACATTATCCTTAAGGAGGAATCAATCTTGATTCCTGTTATTGACTTTGATAGTATGCATATTATAAATCAGGGATCAACAATGTTATCAGTATCCTATTCAGAATGAACAAACTCAACAACCTTAACTTTGGATATCCCATATATGGTACCACAAGTTTCATCAATTTATTTTCTTGTTTGGTTTTGAGGTAAATACAATAGATGATTGTGTGTATCAAAAATTCAGTGGGAGTAAATATATCTCTCTGGTTTGTATGTTGATGACATATTGCTTTCCATCAATAAATTAAAGTATTTTGAAATGAAGGATGTTAGGGAAGCCTATTTTGTATTAGGAATCCATATTCAACAAGACAAATCTTGTGGAATTATAGGATTATTACAAAAGAGCTACATCGATAAGATCCTTACTAGATTTTGCACGCAAAATGCAAATCAGGTGACACCCTTGTTGCTAAAAGAGACAAATTTAGTGTCGATCAATGCCCTAATTTTATCCTTAAAGTTAGAGAGAGATATAGAGGATTTGTTACATTTTTCTTTGTTTAGAATCTAATCTATGCTGAAGTATGTATACGTTCCTATATTATAGGGGATAAGCCAAGCTTAGTCTGAATACCTTTAAGGGAAGAGAGATCATATAGGTTCTTGGTGGTTTGTACGAGTTAGGAATGAGTTTCTTGGATTTGTTTAATAGTTTTAGGGTTACGTTCTGGGTGGAGTATAGGGTTGAATGGGGTTGGTTAAGGTGTTCCTCAGCTACTTCAATTCCTCTATATGATTTCTAATCAAATAGGGTATACTGTACAGAAGATCGCAATTGAGTAACTGTATTTTTAATAAAGATTGAAATTGGTTTGGTCGGGGTTTCTCTAAAACTGTTTCATGTCTTCTTCATGGGAATTTAGTGAAGACATGAGTTTTGGAATAAGCTTATGATGGGTCGATTAAGGATGGTTGGAGTAGGTTGAGGTGGAGGAGTTAGTGTAGAGGTTGAAGCTTTTTCTCTTTTAAGAGTTTAACCTCCTTGGTTAGGTAGGACAAGGTGGTTTGTTGGGAAGAAAGAGTTTCATGAATAGACTACAGGATGAGGTTCATATCCTTTTTATTGGTTTTATAAAAAAGAGAATGTGTAAGTGCATGGCTTGGTGATATCTTCCTCATAAAATATTGATAAAACTAGGGGTGAGCAAACCCAAACCAAGAAACCGAAAAACCGACTAAAACCGACAAAACCGAAACCGAAAAAACTGAAACCTAAGCAAAACCGACGATTAGGGTTTGAATTTTCTAGAAACCGAAAAGTCGGGTTCGATTTCGGTTTTTACCTAGAAACCGACCCATCCAACCCAAGAAACCGACCCATACTTGATTGTGTTTTTGTTGTAATAGACTATTTGGAGCTTTGGTTGTAACTTGTAATAGATTATTTGATTATAAGACTTATGTTTTTTAAAGTATTTAACTTCAAGTTGGTGTTTTTTGAAGTATTTAACTTCTTGATTTATTTTTGGAAAATGGGTTTGAACCCAAAACCCATGGGTTTAAACCCATAAACCGTCAGTCTATGGGTTGAACCCAAGAAACTGAAAAACCACCCAAACCGACCTCAGAACCCAAGAAACCGAACCAATCAGAAACCGATCCTATTGGGTTCTGAAAATTAGAAACTGACCATTTATGGGTTGGGTTGGGTTTAGGTCCAAAACCGACCCAAACCGACCCATACACAGCCCTAGATAAAACACACTTCCTAGTCTTTGTTCTAAGATAGACAGTTGGAATATTCAAGTTAATGACTGTTGGGAATACACTGGACTTGGGCTGAGAGGGTGTGTATGATTATAATAGGGGAAGAAGATGGGTTCATCAACTTGCATATCCCTAGTTGTGTGTTGCGGGGGAGATAAGGGAGAAAGAGGAGAAGAGTTACCAAATTGTTGAGAATTTGTGGCACTAGGAGGAAAAAAAGATTTGGCAATGAAAGAATTATCAACTGCAAGCCACTAATCATCAACTCTATCATCACTACCATAACTACGTACCATCATTAATAACATCATAGTTGTGACACCATAAACATCACCATTTCTATCATCACTATCTCTACAATTAGAGTGCTTTTTTAATTTGTTTTTTATGAGTTGTTTATATAAGTTGTCAATTTATAATTGGTTGAAAACATAAATCCCCCTGCACACCCACTCTAACTTACCTACCCACACACCTACTTAACATATACCCTCCCATACCTACCCATATACACACCCACCCTACTTACCCATGTGCCACCCCGACAGACCTTACCTACTCTGCACCCTACCTACCTCCATCTATCCACCCATAACCCACCCTACACTCATCCACCAAACCCGTATAGACCTTAACCACCCTACATACTCTACCTTAGCTAAGGATGAGAATTTGGCCCAAAAACCCGAACGGAACCGAACCGAATTAGGCCCGAATAAGCAATTCGATTCGGGTTTCGGGTATCAATATTATGTTTATTCAGTTCTCGGATTATTCGGTTTGGGTTACCCAAATAAGAGCTTATTCGGTTCTAAATACCTTACCCGAATAAGCATTCCTCGCCCCCTTTCTCTTATCGACAGAAATCAAAATCACGAATTAGGCCTGAATAAGCAATTCGATTCGGGTTTCGGGTATCAATATTATGCTTATTCAGTTATCGGATTATTCGGTTTGGATTACCCAAATAAGAGCTTATTCGGTTTTAAATACCTTACCCAAATAAGCATTCCTCGCCCCCTTTCTCTTATCGACAGAAATCAAAATCACGATTTACACTTCTATCATCATCGTTCATAACAGGAAAAAAAACCTATGTTTGTTGTTGTCGTTTCAAAATCGACCAATCTTCTCAATTCTTTCCAAACTTGAAATCAATTCTGTATCTTTCCTCTTGTTTCAGACTTTCAAAAATCGACCCTTCCTACTTTCTCTAAGGATTCACGAATTCCTACTTTGTCTAAATTAGGCTCCAACTCAAGAAACTTAAGTAAAAAATTAATTGTCATTATGTTAATCCACTATGTAAATGTTATTCTTTCAATGTGTTATTGTATTATATTAGTCTTTGAATGTTTTACACATGATTGTCAAAATCGCGATCTTGATCGTAGAATCGTGCGATCCTAGGTATGAAAAACAATCTGGATCGTAAACGTATCGTATTTGGGGTAGGATCGCATGTAGGATCGTAGGATCGAGATCCGATCTGATCCTACCTTCCATTGATTTTTTTTTTAAATTTTATTGATTTATTTATTTATTTGCAAATGAAAATTATTTTTACCATTTTGTCTTTTATCTTTTACCAATTTACCGTTTATCATTTTATGTTGTGACTTATGACTAATATTTTAAAGTTTTTTTTATAACTTTTGATTGAAAAATTAAATGTTCGAAATATTTTTCATGTTTAAACATTATAAATTAAAATCATGTTTTATTTTGTGGGATCTTAGGATCCCAATCTTACGATCTCGATCTTACATTGTTATTCTATTATTCGGGTTATAGAATCATGATACCGTTTATTTGGTTTTTTTCGGTTATATTAGCTCCGTAATCATCTTGTACATATTATTCGAATACCGATTAATATCCGAACTGAACCGAACCTGAATTGGCAAATCGTTTCGGTTTTCAGTTCATGCAATTACCCTTATTCGGTTTTCGGGTTATTTGGGTTCGAATCGGGTCAATCCTGTTCCGACCTGAATAACATCTCTAACCTTAACTACACAAGCCTATCAATCCACCGCCACTTATCGCTAAACCAGACACTACCCTAGGGATGGGCAGTTTGTACCTAATCCCGATCATGTACCAGCACCGGAACCAGTACTGAACCGTACCGAATTTAAAAATATGAGACAGTACTTGATACTTCAAATTCACAAAATTCAGGATCCGGTACCATCGTTATCGGTACTAGTACCGAAAACCGATACCAGTGATGTTAATTCAGTTCGATACTCAGAATTCACTTTTGATTAAATTCGGTTTTCAGGAAATAAAAAACGGTACAGATCAATATAGGTTTCATCCCATACTCATCCTTACACTACCCCATCCCTTATCCTATTTAAACTGACTTTAAAAAAATTTAATAGTTAGTTTTTTCCAAAAAGCAATTTAAATCCAATTTAAAATAACAAAAACTAGAAAATAAAAAATGATAGAAAATACATAACCAAATACAATTTCAAATTTTTTAAAATGGAAAATGAAAAATCAAAAGTTATAAAAACTCCACTCTTTTTTTTTTTAAATCGTTTCCAAGAAAATTGAAAAAAGTTTTCCACCACCAAATGTAACCTTATAAGTATGATTTACCTTATAAGTACATAATACATGCTATTCACTCGAATTGTTATCAAGATAACATGTTACTTCGATGTAAGGGTAAATACATGCCATACAATAAACATTACCATCAACCAATTTACATACTATTTTGTTAAACCAATCCATAATTTCATATTGTTCTCAAAGTTTCCATTCCATAAACACAGTGTCCTCAATAAGTTTTGGCTATATAGTCCACACACCTCATTATTTATATCGATAAAGCAATCTCAATATTAGGTTTCCTTTTAGACTGTGAGCGTTGTTAGGATGCTCACAATCACAAAAAAAAGGAACCAAAACCCGGTCCCACCTTGTTAAATACGTGATATCAACAAAGGAATAGAAGCTGGGGTATCCTCACCCATGACAGGCTGGAAAAGATCAAGCTCTCCATAACGTTCTAGAACACGCATCCTACAGTCCTCAGCCGCCATTAATCCGGTGTGGTAGGCACCATGTACTGACCCCGGGTAGTCGACACTTGTCGCCTCCCCAGCAAAAAATAAGTTATCCACAGGAATCCTTAGCCTTTCATACAGATCATGGGGTTTCCCTACTGCATCATAGCTATACGACCCGAGTGAATTTACATCACTACCCCAACGCGACACCAAATGCTGAATCTGTTGCATCAAAACAAATAAAATATATATATATCACATTACTGAGTTGCTATGGTTGCGGTGGTGTTTTTGTTACTTTTTTTTTTTTTTAAAGAAGCAAGCAAATAATGGTATTGGTAATTAGTATTACAGGGGGGGAGGCGTCAGGAAGAATCTTTTTGAGATGTAAAAAAGCAAAATTAGCGGCAGCATCATCTGATAATTTCTCGATGTCTTTTGCGAGGCGTCCAGCTGGCATATAAACCAAGACAGGATGACCAGTGGCTTTGTGGAGATTAAGAAAGTAGCTACATCCATAAGAGGTGTCTGAAACTACTCCTAGAAATTCAACATTTGGCCAAAACACTCTCTCAAAATGCAAAACTATCTTGTTTTCGATTCCGACTCCGAGGTCGGCGATGGCTTCCTCTTTCCATTCCGGTAATCTTGGTTCAAATTTAATGGTGTTTGACTTCAAAACGCCAAGTGGCACCGCCACAACCACTGCATCCGCAAATAATGTTTTCCCGTTTTCAACGCTTACTTTTACGCCGTTTTTACGTCTATTTATCTTCGTTACCCTTTGCGAATGAATATACACCAATAAGTATTAAACAAAAAAAAAAAAAAAAAAAAAAAAAAAAGTGGGTGTAAGTTTTTTTCATCACTATTTTTTTTAACAGCTCAGGTAAACTACCTGTGATCTAATCGGATGTCGAGCCCTTTGGCAAGTGTGTTTATAACTGGAAGGTAACCACGGACCATAAGTCCATGTCCACCTGGAAGCAATTCTTCCTGTTCATCAAAAAGTAACTATCAGTGAATGCCCTCTGCAGTCTAAAATGTTTATATAGCCATATAGAGAGATAAATAAAAAGGAAAAAGAAAAAAGACATGCCTTATCCCAGCATTTAAGGGATATGGTTTCAGCATCTGCAGCAAACCAGCCTTCCATTCTACATAAGTACCACTGCAAGACCTTATGAGAAAGCCCCTCCAACCTGTAACAAATGGATGCTTTAATTATAGGATTTTATGACAAACAAACAGACTTAAAAACTGGAAAACTGATTTTAATATTTTTAACACTAAGTTAATGAAGTGTGCTATGACTTTAGGGAGATGGTTATACCTTAGTTTTGGGTTTCTTTCAAACACAATTGATATTGCCTGCTCTATAGACATGTCTTCAGGGAACTCCTCCCTTACTTTATTAGTCTGCAATACATAAAGTGGCATGTCAAGAGGCCAATAATGAAAGAAAAAAAAAAAGGTTGACTAGTTAATGAAAGAGAAAAAGGGTTGACTATTTAGCATAAATTCAAATAATGATAACAGTTGTGATATAGAAGAACTTGCCTCTTCCAATATGTTCTCAAATGTTTTTCCAACCTGTGAGACTAATTCTTGAGGAACTTGATTCCCATCCATATCAAACAGTGCATAGCTGAAGAGTGAGTACAAAAAGAAAATTTAAGGAGTACATCAGTAACAGGAAATTGTTTAAAAAAGTAATAATTTATTCGTTAAAAAAGTACATGAGCTTCTTATAGGTCTTCCAGATCTTCAAAATTGCTAAACAATTTGCACAATGAATTAAGTCATTAACAAAGTAAATGCAAATTGATCATTATCTTTTTTTTTTTTTTTTTTTTTTTTTTTGTTTCTATGTCCAAGAATCTAAACTAATATAACTTGAGCTCATAACTTATTTCCAAGATATGAATATAACAAATACATAAACCATAATAATTAGGCAATAACAATACACTCTCCACATAGAAGTAGAGCTAACAATATAGATTAAATATGAAGATTTGAAATTCATTACCTCTCCAAATCATGATCATATAACACTGAATCATCACCACTAGTTCTGTATAAAGGTAATCCAAGTCTACTGATAACTGGTGCCAATGGATTCTCTTTGCAAACCCCATGCAACCTGAGAAGTTTAACATTAAGGTACAATTAGGGAAAGAATCTTAATATGGTAATTATTATATTTATCTATTATGTAAAGTCAAACAGTCAATGGATATGAAAGCCCTTCTCACCATGATGCACCCAAGTCCACTGGAAAACCAAATGAGTAATCAGTACGAACCCGACCACCAATTCTATTACGAGATTCAAGTACTATAACCTGAAAAAAAAAAAAAAAAAAAAAAAATGAAATTCATGCTTATGTCTTGTATGTTTGTGTATTATTATCTTCAAGAAATAGTGTCACTGAAAAAGAATCATCATTTAACAATATCTGAAGAAAAAACAATGTTTATTTGAAGTACCTGAAATGAAGCATCATGAAGGGCACGAGCAGCAGCTATGCCAGCAAATCCACCACCAATCACAATAACAGATGGTGAGGTTGAACGCCTTGCTTCAACATTTGAATAGCAAATTGCTACATTTTAAGAGGGAAACAAGAATTAGATATGAAACTCTCATATAAATAATTAATATGTGACTATGAGTACTTGAAAGTCAACAATAAATTTACAGTTTTTTAGCTTAACCAAGAGAATAAGGCTTGATTCATTACAGCTATTCAGGATAGAGACTGACATACAATTTTCTCCATAAAGGGTTTACAATTTAGTAACTGAAAGTACAATACATACATATACATACACACACATACATATATACATACATACATACAACATGTTTGTGTATGAAAAGAAGTTACAAAAAGGGATCTGTAAAGGTTTGCTACTTTAGGTGACATGAATGCTTTTTTAGGGACCACATTGGAATATAACTAGAATGCATAAACAATAATACAGATTCTCAGAAGCGGACCCACCAGCAGTATTGATGTGCACATGTAGCAATGGTAGTATATTACTATTAGTATACACTCCATTCCAAAATAGTGTTACAGACAGATCAAAACACAACATGTAGAGCCCAAATATATGAAAACTATTTGTCATCGTATGTGGGATACCCCAAATAATACTTCCCCATTTACAACAATTCATGGTAGAGGCAACGACCCATGACACGCAGTTCCTTTAAAACCCTCTTTCATAACCACAAATAATATGATCGGTTATCTGTTCTTGACTTTTTGTAGTGAGAAATTATCTATTACCACTACAGTTTATTCTTCTAGACAAGTAAAATACCTAATTGTAACTTTGGTGTGTCTTTTAAGTTTTAATCTTCTCCTAAAATTCAAGTTGAGAATTGAAAGAAAACTAGCAAAAAGTGTAATATGCTGTTACGCATGAAGATCCCCCAAAATTGAAAAGTAATCGAATAATGAATTATTGCACAGGTAATACAGATACTAAAGTAAGAACAAAAAGAGAATAGATTTTACGAGATACCTTGTTTCAATTGGGGATTACTCTTGTCTCCTCCTGAACCCATGTTGCGATGATGATGTTGGACCAAATAAAGGGATTAATTCGTAACCAAAACAATAATAACGACAACTGTAAGAGGGAGAAACTATTAACAGGCCTTCTAGGATCCAAGGGTTTGTCGAACTGAAAAAGGGAAGTAGGTAACAATTGGGGTGAGTGATGAAGAACGAAAAGGAGAAGACAAGTGATGAAGTGATTTGAATTCGAAGAATTACAACCCAGATTTACCAACCAGCTCATGCGTATTACGAACTCTTGGTTTCAAATCTTTATAAATCTCTCGGAAACCCTGGTGCCTATATGATCTGGTAGGATTCGGGTAAAAGATCAAAATCCAGGTAACCAAATATGGTAACTCCACCGGAATGATTTGATGATTGCTAAATGCGTTTCAGAGTTTGATTCGACAGAGACTCAGAGAGAGAGAGAGAGAGAGAGAGAGAGAGAGAGAGATCCACGGGTGAGATATTTTGTGATTTTGGATTTGTATTTATTAGTGAGATGATGAAGAGATCAACCAACACACGTTGCTTTGTTCCCCTTCCTTTCAATAAATTGTGTGAGAATTGTTAGGTTTCATAAAGTACGTGCTTTTCCTCTTATATGCACTAGGCGAAAATATAGATAAATATACTTTATAAAAAACAAAATTATTTATGCAATAATAATTTTTATATTAACTTAGATATAAAGATATAATAATTATTTTTTATATTTTAGTTTTATCTTTATCATAAATTTCTTTTAAAAAACCATTAAATCATTTATCTTGAATCACATTCATTTATTTATCTTTAATTACATTCATTTAAAACTTCAAACTAACTTTTTATTAATTAACCATAACATTAATTTATTTTAATGCTATAATTATTGATATTTTAACTAACTAATTACTACAACTTAAAACATTTTAACATAAGATATTTAATTAGATTCCATGACAACTCAAATGATTTTTTAACTTATTATAATTAAAGATTAAAGTTAATTTTGTCATTTAACTTTATGTGTATTTATTTGGTCACTTAAGTCCCTTTAAGTTTTATAATGTTACTTAACTTTTTATTTTTTCCTGAAATGATCCATATGAATGGTATAGCATGTAACCTAGTGAATTTGCTTACTTAGTCCCACTTAGAAATATACATATATTGATCATTCCCATTTGGAATTATATGCGGCAGTTGGCCTTAAAACAGATTTAAAATACCATTAAACAAAGATTTAGCCTCTTCATCTTTCAAAAGCTTCAATGAGAAGTTTAAGGTTAGTGAATGACAAGAACTTCAAGGAGCGACTCTCCAAGTGAAAATCTAGGTGTCTAACTATCCTTAAACAAAGAGTAGGCTCAAATCACCTTAGATTTCACACTGACGTATTCACATTTCTTAGAGTCGCTATTAGAAGAACTTCAAGAAACCATTTTTACAAATCGGCCCTACAATTGATATTACAGGTACACATTTATCATAAAACAATCATGTTTAGATTTAATCTTGAAGTTCTAAGTTTTGATGTCTTGTTAATGGAGATCAAATGTTAACTTGTAACATTCTAATTTTTACCACAAAAAATTTCATTTTTAAATATAGAAAAAATCTCAAATATCATAACACCAAGTCAGTAAAAATCTTAGGTACATTAAATACAATCATTCCAATTAGATTATCAAAATGCAAAATCATAAAAATTTGCAAGCTGGAGTGTACAGTCAAGCCTTCGCCTTTTTCGTGATCATCCGTAGTACCTGAAACACAATAATCCACAACTCTAAACATGAAGCTTAGTGATTCATGATTCATTTCCAAAATATCCAAACAACACATCATAACAAACAATTATGGGTTATCAGCAATCCTGGGAATTAGCAGCAATCCCACTGAGCTAACAATACACCCAGTGGATTATCAACACGTTTCAGGGGTTATTAGTAACCTTGGGGGATTTTCAACAATCCCGAAGTTATTAGCAATTCAATTCGATTCACGTATAACAACAATCAGGAATTAAGACCCAATTGGTCATATACATAAATATAGTATAGGTAACTATAGTGAGAAGACTCACCTCGTGAATAACAGCTAAAAATGTCACGACTCTCATACAGGGTAGGCAGGAGCAACGAGACACCTAACATCAATAAAGAAGTACTCTCTCAGTCTACACTCTAAAACCCTAGTTTGACCCACAAGTCAACCATAGTCAAGAGTCAATGCTAAAGTCCACCTCAATTGATTGTCACGTTGTGATCACCCATGGGTCACGTCGTGATAGAGTTAGGACAAAACAGTCGCAGAAACATCATGTGTTATGACATGACACAAAACTCGTCACGTCGTGAGACCTAATCTGAACAGCTTAGAGCATTAAGCTCTTAATCCCTAAAGCCAAATCTTCAAACCTTCCAAAAGGTTTTCCTCAACCCAAAGGGCCATAAAAATTGTAGCTTTTTAGTCATGAATGTCCAATGCATGAATTGGACACTAACTAGGTCAATAAAGATAAAATGATGCCAAAACTCATGCTTGGAGTCCCAACCACCATCAATCCTCAAGTTTGATGTTTATGCTAAAAAAGGGGCTTAATGATACATAAAGTTGCTAAATTTATGGATCACATGCATCTACTCAACCCAATCATGAAGAAAAGTGAATAAAACTTAGATCTTACATGCTTAGATGAGAAAGTGTAACACCCGTTTTCCAGGATGGATCGCTTCAGGATTTCAAGGAGTCAAAATCTTGATTGTTGGGAGAAAATTGAGTGTCACGATGTGACCATTGGGTGGTCACGGTGTGACAAGGGTAAATATGAAAAACGTGTCCGGGACCAATCTTACAACGTGAGACATAAAGTCTCACTACGTGAGAACTGTTACACCCTAACTCATGATCTTTTAGGGTTTCCTTTGTATTTAATCCCCTTTAAGCTAATTTTAGGGTTCATTATCAGCCTCCAACACCCATTTTACCACAGAAAAACCCTAACCCTAATTCCTTGGTTGATTCATGGCCTTTTGGACCATTTCTTGGCTTGAAGAAAAAGAGAAGAATGAGAATAAGGTGTTCTATTGGTGGAACTTGCAAGGAAACATCATCATCATCATCTCATTTTGTTTCTAGACCTTTGTAACTGTCAAAGGCTCAAACTTTATTGTTGAAGGTGGTTAGATATAAGTTATTGTCCCATTTCTTTCATGTTTAAGCAAGTTTAAATGGAATGAATACATAAAGTTGGCAACTTTATGCATTTTAAGGGGCCTTAGAGTATGATTATTGTTCATATGTAAAATTTGGTTGATTATTGGATCCATGCTTGAGGATTTTGGTTTAATCTCTTAGTTTTGACCTAGAATAGATGGATGACATGCATATCCATCAAGTAATCATTTTTATGGACCTTTGGAGTCCCCTTTGGCTTCTGGAAAGTTAAAGTGAAAGACTTGATGGATTAAGGGCTTAAATCCGGATTTTGGATTCAGGCTATAGTCATGATGTGAGACATGAGGTCTCACAATGTGAGATTGAAAGAACCTATTGGCTGCTAAGCTTTTTGGGGATCACAATACGACAGAGGGATATTTAAAATGTAAGGCTTGACAGTGGGCTGAGTTGGGGCGAGTTGAGTTGGAATCAGATCGAATGGTTTCTTACGCCATGACCAAGGGTTGGTTAAAACATGAGGCTTGACAGTTGGCATTGTGGGTTGTTGAATTTGACTTTGACCATTGACTTGTTGGCATGGGTTGACTTTTGGTTAAATTTCTACTTTTAGAAGGTAAACTTAGGGTTTACCTTATGTGGATTATTAGGAGGTGTTTAGCACCCATCATTTGGCAGTAAGAGCTGCTAGCTATGGTCGACGCGACATTAATGTAACATCCCAAAAATCACAGTAAATTTAAACTTTTCAAAAACAACCCAAGATAATAATTGTTTACAAAACCATGGTTTTAAAAGTGTTAATCAAATATCAGAGTGTCCTAAAAATCCAAATATCATAAATCTAAAAGATGTGCACGATCATGCCTTCGCCTTGCCACGATCATCTGAAGTAACTGAAACAATAAACTAAAAATGTAAGCTAAAGCTTAGTGAGTTCCCCTAAAGTACCACCACACAAACATATAACCAAACAAATATCGGGTCCACAACCTCCTGAATGGATTACCCTCGACCCACAACCTTTTGGTTGGCTTGCCTAATACATAATGGGTCCACAACCTCCTGATTGGATTACCCCAACCCATAACCTCCTGGTTGGAATGCCCCGATCCATTGACTGACAGCACAAAGAAGTACAATCTCAACCCTACATACTATGTCGGCATATACATAACAAATAACATCTATCTAGCAACAAATAATCGTATAACCAGTCAACTGACTAACAAACATATCTACAGATCTCTACTGCATAGCAACATCCTATATACCAAGATACATAAACTAATGGGTCAGCACCGGTGCCTTTGATCCATAAAGAACAATGAGGAAAACTCACCTCTTAGTCTGAACAAATAGCTGAATCGGTCTTGGCTCCAAATATCAGCTCTACCCGTCACCTATTCATCAAATAGTGACCAATCTTAAATACAACTCAAAATACCCAAAATACCCTTAGATCAAACTTGGTCAAATCTTGGTCAAAGTCAAAAAGTCAAGAAGTTAACCGACAGCTGCGTACGCATAGTGTTTAGAATGGATGCATATCTATGACATCCCTAAAATCTCGGCCAAAAAAGACCGATTTTCATTTATGCTTTTAAAATAATTTCAGAGTAAATCCTTTTGATTTGAAAGAGTTGCGGAATTTGTTCCCAAAAACAAAGTATGATAAAATAATATTTACCAAAGCATTTCATAAAAGAAATGTATTTTCATTATATAATCAAAACTCGGGATGTCGTGTTCCGATACAGACCATAAAGCATAAACGATAACATTACAAGTCATTTAACAAATATATACATATACAGACTTGTAAACAAAACAACTTGATGATTCATCCATCTTATGCCCTTGCGCCACTTCCTGTAATACAAATAAAACTGAGTTGGTCAGGCTTGGGAGCCTGGTGAGCATATAGGGTTTTCAACCCATAATAAATAATTATATTTAATTCCACCAACCAACAATAAACCAATTACCCATTCCCGTTATTCTCACTTTACGTCCCTAAAACAACTAACACAAGGGACATAGTCTTAGAATACTTCATCAGGGTGACAACACATGCATTCGGGGGTTTCCCAACAATATATGTCAAATAAGGCAACCATGAGGGGGATGGAGTACAACGAATGAACAACCAAGTTCATTAACACCTACAGGTGGCGAACCTGCTAGCGTTCCACAGGACTGTCTAGACAAGTCTGTGGTCGTCATCTAAACTCCGCTAGATGATTGAATCAAAAACAACATCGAGGCCTCTCATCTGTTTATCACACGTCAACTATCTACCCATGTTCTACCCGACATATTAGTAGATAAAAAT